TCAGCAGTTGATTATTTTAAATCTATAGTTAAAATTTCCAATTTATGCTTTTAACACAATTTCTTATCTAGATCAGATGACATTAATATAATTAATTAAAATAAGATATTTAATAATTCCCTTTTTCTATTAAAATATTATTCTCATTAAATAAAATTAATTATAAAATATCTTTCTTAATATATAATAATTGTTTAGCTCTTATGAATTGCTCTTTTGATTATCAATATAAAATATATATTACAATAATATACAAAATAATAAAGTTATAATGGATACCACTTGATGAATTTTTTTCTTCTAACATATTGCTAAAATATTTCTTTGCAAATTCAATCAAATTATTGTAATTGTTCTTGTGAATTTAAAAGCGTGTAAATTTAATCAAAAATATCCTTTCAGGATACTATTGTAAGCACGCCTTTGAAAATTTTGTGTCATAAATACGATAAATTTCACATCATATATTGAAAAAAGTTCACATTTGACTAAATAGAGTTGATATAGCCTTACACTACTCATGGATTCTCAAAAAACAACTTACATTGAGATTTTGGAAGTTCTAGGATCTGTAGTCTATACTATTTATGAAAATAATTTTTTTAAGAGAATCTATAATTTACTAAGTATATAATGTATATAATTAATTGTAATATATAAAAGTAAACCCTAAACTTATTTCGAGAATAGTAAGCTCAATATATTTTGATTTAGAGTGAAATCTGAAAAAGGTCTAATGATTTCTTAGATCAGCAGATCTTCTAATATATGAACACACCACTTTTCTAAGTTTTTATAATATTAAATACATCAATTCTTCTATTATGCATAAATATACACGCAATGTATTTGATTTATTGTCTTACTTAAAAAATATCTCCTAACAAAACACCATGTTTTTTAAATTCCTCTAAAATATTGAGGAGAATAATGTGACTACTAAGGTGTTGCCTGCTAAGCAATATGTAGAAATCAAATCAGGATTATAAAAATTAGCGAAAATATTTTAGGATAAAAGAATTAAAGAAACTTCTTAATTGTTTTGGTTAGGGTGAGATTTAAGACATGAATTTTTTTATTTTCAGGATGATTTCTTCTAGAATCTCTTAGAAGCCAGAAATTGGAACAATTTAAAAGTATATTTAGGTATTTCTTTTTTGTCTCATAATTATCTACAATTATCTAAGGTTAGTTTTAATTAGAAGATAATATGAAAAAAATGTTATTTTGATAAATAATGTATTGCTAAAAGAATTGATTCTAATAAAGAACAAATGGCTATAAAATTTAGGATTGAAAGCATGAGTATGTTGAGTTTAATAGTTCGAATACTTTGTGAAATGAATAATTTTATAATTTTTTTCCTGTTTAAAAATCTGAAATACCCCTACTCTTCCAACCTGGCTTAATGGGATATTGATGTGAATAATAATCATAATTTATATATATTTAATTTGGACAATCTAAAAATGACCATAAAACAGTTCAGTTTTCTCTTTTCATGTGTACTTAATCCTTAAAACTAAAAACATTCAAACTTAACTATTTGGAAGAAAATACTTTCTATTTTATAGGTTGAAAGCAAATGACCAGGTAGTAATGTCAGAAAGCTGGATTTAAAGTTTCATTTCAAATATTAATTCTAAAAGGTGATCATGACCATAATTTAAAAGTTTAGAAAGAATCAAGTTTTATACATCAAAAGTGTCAAACGACAAAAAATAGATTTAGATAATTAAGTAATTATTTATGTAAATTTAAGCCTTATTTTATACTTTTATGATGTTATATTTCATCTTATGTATATTAAATTATCTTTATGATAATTCCCCTTCATTTAGCCAATAAGGGAGTGAGGTTCCCCTCATGGGCTCCAAGAATTGCTTATTCTAAAACTTTTTTCACTTGTGTATAATGAGTACTTGGCTTCTAACTGTGGCGTTAGCAGAGTTGAATTTTGATGGAGCAATCCTTATGTCAATGCTTAGATATGTGCTGCATTGGATCCGATTGCAATATCTAAGTGCAGCATAAGGTAGGTGCCCTCCATTCTGATTAAATTTGAAGCCATTAGAAAGAAGCATTGATGAAAAGAGAGAAGAGTTGAAAGTGGACCTGCCTATAGTGCAGTATCCTTTTTGGAAAATAAGAAATAGAGTGAGTAGAAGAAGGTGTACATCTGATAATATCCACCAGGTTGAGGATTTAAATAGGATCAAATTTAATTAGGCCCATGAAAAAATTGAATAATCCGTCATTAATAATTTTCTGAAGGCCCCTTAAATATGGACAGAAAACTAAGAAGTTTCTAGAATTTTCTAGAACATAAACGAAGGATGATTATGTCTACTACATCATCTCAGTTAAGAGTTAGAGTCTAGATGTGCTATAAAAGTTCGACAAACAGAACGGTGACTCATTAACATTGGTTTGTTGAGAAGTCGTCCTTTCAGAAGAATCTAACCCTCCTTATGTGATATTATTTATTTATACACATTAAATTTAATTTGTTCTTGGTATCGATATAATGCACCGTTACATATATGAAATACCAATACTAATATTAATAAGATTCTGAAATAGTCTGTGCTCTTTAGTTGACTTAATATGTGTTCAGAAATATGTGTCCAATTCAATCACTGGATACTTATCCTCATATTGTCCTAATATAAACTGTAGTACTGAACCTTTAGGAATCTGTATATTTTCAATTTCTTAACTTCTTTTGTAATTAGTCAGAATTTAAACTTTAAACTGAAACCTAAAAATTAATCCAAAGTATTTTTTCTAGTTCCTCAGATAGATTTTTTGATTCTCCCCCTCGAATGAGCAAACCAACCAAACACTCAATATAGGCTGAATTTATTCTATATTTCTTTGTATTTTAATTCAGGAACTTATGATATAATTTTTAGAGGATTTTAAGGTTCTTATAAATAAGCCACTTTTTCAGTTCAAGCTCAATACAGAATTTTTACTAAAGCCCAAAAAATATAAAGGATTTTTTTTGACTCATCGCTTAAGCTTGATCAGATAGAATTATTATTCTCTTTTGTCTATTAGCAATCAATTAATTTTGGGTTTCTTTTCTACATTTTAGAAACTCTATTAAATCTGATTTTCTTCAATTTTCCTTTTTACAGTTATTTAGACACATTTTGTTTTGAATTTTTACAATAGAAATTTATTATTAAAAAAAATCGTGGATTTCAATCACTATTCTTTTCAACATAATTTATTAGTTCATCAAAATAAGGAATTTTGAACTTTTAAAAAATGAGAGAGATCACTAAGAATTAGAAACTTATTGTGATCTAGCTTGATCTCTAGAAGTAAAGATTATGTGAATTAAATGAAGTAAAGATAAACAAATTTTCTGAATTCTGATAATTATTTTGATAGAATTATTCTTGAAGCCAGCCAATTAGTAGGATTCAGCGAGAAGGAGAGATAGAGACTTAGACCAAAACAAATCTAAACTGCTTTAAAATAATTTTTTTCCCAAGAAAATTAGTTCATTATGCCATCAAATTTTGAATCAAGGCATTCGACTACTACAATATCTATTTTTTAATCAAAAATAGATAGTTCTTTCTGTAAGTTTTAAGATTAAGAAAGAGTTATTCAATTTATTCCTATTATCCATTAATTTATTATATTATTAGTGAATAATTCTGGGTATTTCTTAAACTAATTTTTTTAATTCTTGATATTTAATTCATTTATTAAACCAAAGCTCTTAATCATCAAAAATGAATTTGATTTTATAAAATATAAAAATATCATAGCAAATTATTTTTGTTTATAGAACCAAAAATTTTATCTATCTACATTTTTCACAGTAGCTCAAAATGTAAATCTTTTGATTATTAGTCTCAATCTCCTTATTTTATTGATGGTTACACCTTTGTCAATTCATGCTTTAACATTATCTCATTATAACTCTAATTATGTTAGTATTTCAAGTTTAACAGTAAAACCAGTCATTTATTTATTAAGCCAGTTGTTTCTTGATCTATATCTACACTAATACTAGTATACATTAAAATAAGGTGCTGTTGGCTAAAAATATAGTTAATATTCAGTAATTCTATGAGAGCTTTCTAACATCAAAAAAAAACAAAATCAAATAAATATTTAAAAAATTACCTTTTTCTACTTAATTTAAGCTAGGTTATAAAGAATCATTGGACTAACTAAATGGTTTATCAGATGATCCATAAAACCACATAGAAAATTGAATCAACTCTCTATAATTATGTAATAAAAGTAAAGATTGTAAATGAATTATTATCGATAAGATCCTCTGGTATCAGAGTGAGTATTCTTATGGATGATAGAGCTTTAGCTCGAACCTGAAATTTGGCAAGATTTTTTATTCTTCAACATCTTTTGGACGCATTCTATATTTAAATTTCTAAGTTAAGATGTTCAATGAAAATAGGATTTTTCATTAATTGAAAATATCAAGTATCTTATTGTAACACAAATATATTGAAATTCTTACAAATTCAGCTATGTTAACTCAAGTAATGAAATAATAATTTAGTAAGTATATCCTTTAAGTCTGATATTAAATTATAATAATCTGTATCAATATTTTCAATATTGCTATATTTTACAAATTATAAAAAGATTAAATTTAAATATCAAATTTCAATAATTAGTTATAAAAAAGTCAAGAAATTGTTTGGAACTACTTGAGGCTATATGATAACCTTAAAGGTAAGAGAACTATATAAGTTATTATTATAATATTTTATAATGATTAAATAAACTATACTTTGATTATGATTCTTCAACAATAATTTTTCGATATCAGTACAAAATTAGTTTCAATTTAGAAATATCAAGTCCAAATTTAAAATCAAACCATAAGAAATTATTTTCTATCAAAAGAAAAATTTTAATTCTATTTGGCATGTTATTCTTCTTTTCTGAAAACAGAATTTTTTATACAAAAATAATTCTTCTACTGCTTATTTCTTATTTTGAGTTGCTTTGTAAATATAAATTTAATCAATTATTTATGCATAATTTAATTATTAGGCTTTTCATTCTTTTTTTAATTTTACTCATATTTAAATACAATCTATACTCTGATGAATTTAATGAATATCATTTTTAGAGAAAAATTTGAATCTTTTATTCTATATTAATGAATTCATTATGCATTCTATTAGGGATGTGAGGAGTATGATTCACAAAATAATCGATATCATAAGTGACAATAATAATCTTTAAATGTATTAGATCCAAAAAATTAATAGAGAAAGTTAAAGGAATTTTAATAGAATTATTAGAAATTAAAATAAAAGCATCTTAAGCAAAAATAACAAATTATCTTTCTAAGCTTAAATGTTATATATAACAATCATTAAGTATTATGATCTACTATATAAATAAATATTTTTATTATTGATAATCAAGAAGATTATTTAATAAAGTATGGAGTTCCAAATATTTAAAGTCACTTGTACCACTCCAATCATTTTTGGGTAATACTAAAAATTTACACTATCTCATCTAATAATTATTTTCCCAAATTTATTTATTAACAATGATTACAAATTATTTAGTTTAATTATAGATAAATGCAAATTAAAAATTTTACTTACTTTTATTTATTATGCTGTTTTTAGATTTTTAGAAAAATATTAATCTGATTCCTCACAAAGAGTTTATAATTTATTGAAATGAGAAATTAATCAAAGTAAGCTTTTCTAATTTTTTACAACTATTTCAAAAGATTTAAAGTTTTATTATTACTTTATATAGAAGGACTTTAATTTATCTTTAAATGGCTTATGTAATATAACTGAACACTTCAATTTATTATAATTCATTAATTTGTTTTTGAAAGTTGTATTATTACTACTATAAATAATCAATAAT